TAATTTCTATTTTTTTCGGTGTCTAACTATAAAATTATATATAATTTCTATGGGGAATTCGTTACTACATGCTGATATATTTATTACATATGTATTAATTTTATGAACTATATATTGATTAACTTATTTTAAATAATTATATTCAATCTTTTTATTTTTTACACATTATATTTTATGAGATTTTATTGAAAACTAAAATTTCATTTTAGATGATTTTAAAAGCGTATTCTCTCGTATAATTAGATGGTATAGCTTCTTTTTATAGTTAGGTGGGTGATCACAAGTTTTTCTCTATTGCATAAACTTTTACGATCTTCTCAAATTATTTAAAAACTTTGTTGACTTATACATTAAAATTGTAGATTTTTTAGTCGAGAAGACTAGATTACTCAATTATTTAAAAGATTCATTCGTATTTATATAGCCATTACGGAATAAAACTTTCTCTTTTCACCCTATGAATAGAGATATCATTCACTCGTAGGCAATCAATTTTATTAATTGCTTGTCAACCATGACTTTTTAGTGATTAGTTAAGTTGCTATATATCCCCACTTGATTAAGCATGTATATCTTTTATTAGATAAACATTTCTTTCACTGTGAGCAAAAAATTTTATGGATTAAGTTTTGTTAGTAAAAGATAATTTTCTTTACGCAACTATAAAAGATAGAATTTTTTTTTTAAAAAAGGACTTACCTAAAAGCATAACTTTTTTTTTACTCCTTAATTCAACCTGAAAATGTTATATGTATCCCTAGGTATAGTTTACATCTACTTGTTTGTCTTAATATGAAGTTGATGTTTAACGATTGTCATTATTTTTTAAATAGTATAATATTTTCAACAATACCTTTTTATGAATGTCCCTTGTAACTAATGATCAATTTAAATGGTAAGGTAACTTAATAAATTCTTTGTGAGTCACAAGCGCACTTAGTGGCTAATAAGATTAGCCTAAGCCATTTCACAATTATCAAAGTAGAGCATGTGCTTAAGGTTGTCAGGGAGCCTTGATAATCTAGAGTCTCTTTATATACAAGATAAGCTTTCGAAGCAAGCTGGTTGGTACAAACTTTGTTGTCTCTGTGGGCGTGAGAGGCTTTGACATTCTAATCCCAATTTAATAGATCCGTTAACCTCCTTTCTTCGTCCACAACCAAGCTCGAATATTTTTATGACTCTCTAAATGTTAATAAGATATAAAAAATCTAGGTCAATGATGAAGTTATGAAACTCATTCTCTCGCACAAGCTAAAGTCCCCTAATAGTCCCGTGAAGTTCAGCATGCATAAGAATACTAGTACCAATCACATTGCAACTAGAACCTCTCATCGACCCATCAATATTGATATTAACTCACCCCAATGGAGGGGCTCTCTAGCACCCCAAAACAATTCCACATGGAGAATCAGTAAGTCCTTGCTTAAGAATATTCCCCCCTTTTGCTATTGTTCATCTACGAGGGAGACGTGGTTACATTGCATGGAGTAGGATTCGGTTCATCTTGCATGCTGCTCTACATTATGTCTTGATAAAAATCGTATATTTTTTAAAGTCTCTTTTTACGTAATTTTTTTATAAAGTTAACTTTCACAAGTACGTGATATTATATGTTATATAAAAGTCACATATTCAATCTCATTGGTTATTCTTTGATTTTTTGTTAACTGTAATTTTTTAAAATTATTAATTAAAATCAAATATATTACTTGCTTATGCTTCTGTTCTATCCTTCAATTTGATTTTCTGTTTTTATTTTTTTGAACATTTCTGTAAAAAATAATGTAGAAAATGTATAGTAAATACTTTACCTACCGATATTTTGGTTGTTATATTAGATTGGTATTTATTCATATATACAATGAAGTTTGGTGATTGTCTCAATTTTATATTGTATAGAATTATATATATACACTCAAAATAATATTAATAGCAATAAATACTAGATATGTAGAAACTAAAATAACTAGTTAATTCAGCAATTTATATTTAAATAATATAAATCCAAATATTTAGTGTATAGGTACCTTAGATAAGTAACCATGATCTAAAATACAAAATATAAAAATATTATACTAAAAATAACTACAAATATATTTAAAATAAGTATTTGAATGAATTTTTTTACTTAAATTAACACTAAGTTTTGTTTTTTGAGTAAAAATATCTACATGTTCTAAGAAATTCATAATCGTTCTCTTTTTAAATATTTGATTCAATATAAAATTGTATCTCGATCATATTAATTTTACACTATTACGATTAAAATAAATCCCGAAAAAAATTTGTCATCGTCTAGATTTTCTATTAAAAACGATTGTGATGGTGGATAAATTTATGTTGTTGTTGCATGAGAAAAATCAACAACTTTTAAACTTCATTCCAATAATTTGTCCCGACACTTGATTCCTTAAAAGTTCATAGAGATTTTACGTGGGATAAGAAAATTTTTAGTTAGTTGATTAAGACTTACCATATTAAAAGCTACTTATGTACTTGCAACATTTAGTCGATCATATATAAAATTAGGGTTAAAATTTTTATTTACTTATTTATTTATTCTAAAAGTCCATATAGAATTCAAATATATCTTATTAAAGATGTAAATATTTATATATTCAATAAGATATAAATACTTACCATTCCAAGCAAACTTTTTCATCTTACATTATTTTTATTTATCCCATCAAAAAGATAATATATTATTTGTAAAATGATCTTAATTTCTTCGAATTTAACTTAAAATTTTATATTGTTATCGCGTAGCATATTTGAGTTGAATGAACCTAACTAGTGTATATCTTAAAACTAGACGAGCTTATCACTCAGAGTTACGGCTACTAATGACTGAATACCAAACGGAGTTTAAATAGAAAACCATATTGAAACAGACTGAATCTAAATTTGAAGTTTAATTTAATTTTTTAAAGCTTTTCTATGAAGAAGTCAATTTTTTTCAAAAAAAATATTCGACTTACTTCTATTGAGACTGAAACTGAATTAAAAATAAATTAATTTTCTCAATTTCTTATTTCATCGACTAAAGATTATTTGGTCTCGTTCGGATTAAAGTAACATCAAACCCTAACTACACGATATTGAAAAAAAAAAAATTGGATAATGATGTGCAAAAACAAATTTGTGTCCTACATAAATGTTTGAAAATTGCATTCACCTACAAATTTGTCAAATGATGAACTTATGGTTGATTGCATGAGGATAATTAAAGCCATTTACAATACCAATTCATTAATGTATGTACCTAACTCATATTAAATGAGAATTTAATTTTATCATGGCCCTTAAAGTCACCTACCTACCCTTCTACACTTATTTAGTTTTTAATGTCTCTTTGTAATTTTCCTCTAAAAAACCCTAATTTATTCTCTGATTTGCCTACTCAATTTAATTTAATTTAATTTAATTCTGTCTGATACATCTTCCCTTTTGTCTTACAATTTAATATATTTAATGTGTATGCTTATCCTTCTGTTTATATTTTTACCATTATGATTGGATGCCTTTATTAAACTTTTTTTTTTCCCTAAATGTAATTTTATTATGTGTCTATACATCAACATTTATTGGAGCTTATTTTGAAAATGCATTTATGGGTATTGATTATATATATATATATAATACACATGTCATTGAAAGGTCATGCCTATATACCATACTTATGCATGTGTGTGTGTATATATATATATATATGTATGTATCATCCATTGCCCACATGATTTTTTTCATTATCAAAGATAGTTGCACCCACATCCACCAAACTAGCTCAATATCCAAAAAAGCAAGAGTTATATTTATATTAGAATGTCTAATTATATTCATATCCAATTTTTTTTTTTTTTTAAATTAAAATTTTGGGATTCTTTTTCCTGTTTAGTTGAACTACATAAAAACTAATCAACATAATAATCAAATTTGAATTTCTTAAAATATAATTACATTGGTTAATATGATTCAATCATATTATATACTAATATTTAATGAACAATAATTGAATAATAAACTTAATTGCTAATTAAAAAGAATTAAAAAGAAGAATTAAGTTCCATGTGATGGATTGGATGTCAAGGCCCAATGTAGAATGTCACAAGGCAAATTTCATGGGCCTATAATGAAATTTGAGCTTGATTGTAAGTATCAAAGGTTAAAAAAAGATCTTAAATTTACCTTTGATTAGTTAAGATATGTAGAGTTCTATCTATATAATAGTGAACGATACGTGTTTAGATCAATTCAGACACTAACATTTCGATTTGAAACGATTGAAAATAGTTGAATGAAGAGATAAAATGAACCTAATTCCTACGGATTCGTGTCGTTTGTTAATCAATATATTAATTTAAAAAGCGAAAGAAATTGGAATAAACAAAAATTGATTAGAGTTGATTAAGAGAGAGATGACTTAAATACAATTCATTCTCGCACGGACGAATCGTGATTCGTAAGGAAAATATTATAATGAAAGCTAAAAAAATTATATTTTTATGCGTTGGAACTGGATCAGTTCTATATTAGTTAGATTTGATTTTTAACCAAAAAGTATTCATTTAAGTGGAGCAATCGTGGGTTAGATTTATGAAATGCTCGAGTAGCTTTCATAGACCAATCAAACTTGTTTTTCTTTAACATTTAACACGAAGTACATATGTTAATCTTCATATTTATATTAAGAACATAAATTTATACTCAGTTCTGTATTTTAAGTTGGTATAAAATTTTTTACCCGCTTCCTATTTTATAGGTAATTTTTTTTTTTTAAATTCTAAAAATTTTAATAAAAAATATTAAATATTAATTAAAATAAAAAATAAATTTAAATAATATTTAAACATAATACTCAATAGCAAATATAAATTAAGATTATAAGATATATAACATTAATAATTTATTAATTAATAAGAGTAAAATTAAAAAAATAATTTTAAAAATTCATTAATTCAATATAATATGACAGACTAGGGCTGGTGTGAAGCGCGAACGAGGGAGAGCATTCAGGGCTTAGGGGATTTATTTTCTTCTCTCTTCTGCTCGAAGAAGGGGAAAGAGGAGAATGTACATGGAATTTCAGGAGGTCGAACGAGAGAAATAGCAGCCTCTTCCAGTGACTAATTGGAAAATATGTTTCACCAATCCTCTACTCTGAAATGGGTAATTGATTTCCTCCCAAGAAGATTATTGCTCAAATCGTTTGAAACGTAGAGATTAGTATGTAACTAAGAGATGAAGATTAAGCGCTTGCGGTTTTCAATTGTTGTGACTGATAGATATTGGATGAAATGCAAGTATAGTTTTGTTTCGATTCTTTATTTATGTTTCTTCATGGTATTCTATTTTGTTAGTTATACAATCTGTATGGTTAGGGTTGAAGCTTTTGTAAAATTGGATATTCGATTTCTTCTTGGTGATAAACAGTGTATTAGCATTTTGCCTGAGGTACTGCACGTCTTCTTTGAAGCTACTTTCTGATTTGGTTATGGATGTCATGATGTCTGGATTGAAATGGCTTCTTTTTAATGATAATAACCTGGATATTAGCAGTATGGCCAATCGCCTGTAGGTTGAAATATCTACAAGGTTTAGTCAGTTTAATGTTCTTGAGCTATTTCCTCCACTAAGGTTAAGTTAGTGGGCTCCATTGCGGTGTTGCACGAGATTTCTCTCTTGTCGTAATTCAACTCGGCCTTTAGCATCAGATTTATCCAACTTCAACTATAGTTAAAGGTTAATATTCTTCTCCCAACATGCCCAAAAGCCTTCCTGTTCTATTGTTTTATTATGCTCTTAACATTCAACAATGTTTTAGCCATACTGAAAACTTAGAGAAACCATCCACCTAGAGTTCACCCCACCACTTATTAAAGAGAACTTTCAACAACTGTCATTTGCTTCCAGACCATAAAGGGAAATAATCTAAGGTGGTTCTTGTAGGAAGCTTCTGTAGCAAACCCGGAACCTGTAATTCAAAACAAGGAGGCACCAAAGTCTATCCATCCTTGAGAATAAGGGCCTCTCCCTCATATTAGACCAAATCTATATACCTTTGTTGAGGAAAAATGAAAAAGATTGTGCCAGACAAGAAAAGATTTGAACTTGTCTGCACAAGCTTGGCAAAGGTGGGTCCTAGAACACTCTGCCTGTAACAAAAATCATGTTGAGTTGCCACGTATTAGCAATGGGAGATCCAAATGCCTTCTGGTACCTCTAGCTCAGCCCAAAATTTCTCCGTTTGACACCCTTCCTTTTTCCATGGACCAAATTAAACATTTAGCACCAGTCAGGAGCTCTAACATTTAGAGTGCTTAAATTCATGCATTCACAGTTAGAGAATTAATAAAGTTTGGATTTTTTGGGTGTTTCAGCTGGACAATTCTGAGCTGTGTTTTTGTTATATTAATGGGATAGCCTCAAGGTTATATTTATACATTGACTGACTTAACCAGCAAGGAGAATACAGAGCAAGAAAACAAAATGAGACAAGAGGCAGCTAACACCATTAGTGGCACCTTAGCTGAGAATCAGCGGGTCAGATGCTAACAAACACAAGGACGCTTTCTGTTATCTGTGCCGTTGGAATCATTCTTTGGTGGGCTGGAATAAGCTGATCTGGAGGGGTGATGCGGATGCAGGAGCTGAGTTGGTGATGAGGAAGATTTGGCAGTCATATCTCTTACATTCACATCTTCTGCAATTCAATATGTCCAGAACCTCTTGATTCCATGATCTTCCAAAATACATTCTGAGTCACCAATTTTCGGTAAACTACTCCATTCTAAATCTAAAAATTCCATGACCCGTGAGCAAAGGAGTCTGGAATGACTTCTACTTTTCTTCAACCTGATAGTGGCACCTCTTTCTATCAACCAGATACAACATTGCTGGAGATGATTCAATAAGAAAGTAGCACCAGTAATGATTAACAGAACATTGAAGTTTGAACACAATGAGTATGAGTACACTTGAAGGCTGTTTATCGCCAATCATCCATCCCCCAAAATTTTCATCTCCAATAAATGCCTTTTCTTTACTGAATTTTTAGTAGTATGTTATCATGGTAATTCTATGTGCATTTAGAAAGGGTGTTACTCATATGCATCTACTTTACTCTGGTATCAAAGCGAGGAAAAGATTTTAGTCCTCAATGAGCTAGAAGATAAGAAAGCTAGGATTTTTTTATACGTATTTGAATGATTTTGTCTACTTGTGTTTATTTCAACCTTTTCCTCAACTTGTTTATTATCTTGTGCAGTTCAGAAGCAAATGCAAATTCAGGTGCTGGTGCATCCGGGTCACATCCTTCGATCGCTCCATGTCTGAATGGTTTAGTAATGTATTCTTGATCTATCTTTTCATGGTTAAGCAAAAGTTTAGTCATGCATTCTTGATATATCCCTTTTCATAGCTACAACAAGAATGTAAAAGCTCATGCCTTTTTTTTTTTTTTTTTTAACGTAAACACTCATGTTAAGCTTCCTGAAGAGCTAAGTTAATATAATATAAGTTTTTGAAGAAGAAAATCAATATAATTTAAGTCCCAAGAAAGAAATTATTGTTTAAGGGACTATAATCTTAATTCTGAAAGGATGTTTGTTAGAACGTCAATTCTTCACTATCTTTTACCTATGTTTTTTTTTTTTTCTCTCACCCTCTTTGGAATTCTAGTCTACCCAATTTCTTGACTTGCCCCAATTATTCTTATATCTTGTTCCTAATATTAGAGATTCAGATCAAGAACTAAAACAAACCAGAGCTAACCTATACTACAACCGTCAAAAACTTCCATACAAGGTCACCGCAGGGGTTAAGTGATCCGGGTAACTATTGATACACCTTTACAATTTTATGCTCAAGCACACATGGGATATAAGCACAGCTCTCTTTTTCTCCCTGACCGACTGATACTATGACTAGATGTGGAAGATATTGTTTGATTCATATCCGAAATGAACGTGCAATCTTTGAATCTAGTAAACCATTTTTAAGTATTATTTATTCGTGTTTCGTCTATGCTTCTAATCCTAAAATCAGTTTCCATGGAAGTTATCATCTTCATCCTTCCCCCTCCTCCCACTTGTTTGGGTGAATAAGCAGGCGATCTAGTTGAACCCCACTATCAAGCCCCCCTGCAACACCTTTTCCAAACTATTCTTGGAAATACTCTCCCCCCGGATGAATCTGTATACCTCGTGCCTATGCACATCACATGTAATTTGTCTCCGTAACACATTCTTTTCATCGCTAAATTTATGGACTCACTTGTTCAAAAGCATTCTATTCATTTTTCGAATGTTGCTCGGTCCTAAACCGCTTTTCGTTTGGGCAAACACATCGACTCCTGCAAAATGGTCCTCATTATTTCCTCCTTAATTCAAAAAGGGTCAAAAGAAATTTCTGGTATAAGATAAAAGAAATATTGCTTCAGAAAATAGTACTTCATAGTGTTGGTGGAACAAGAATCATTGAACCCAAAAGAAAGACGTCAAGAGATGAGACGACAAAGAAAATCACGCCTTCGACGTCTTCTACTACAAGCAACATTGGATTGACGAAAAAGAGAAAAGTAAGAAAACTCGATGAACATTTTATACTCATTTACAGTAAGAACGAAAAAAAAAACAAAAACAAAAGACTGAGGAGTTAATTAGACATCACGATTACATCTCTGTCGTTATTGAAGAATGAAAAAAAAGTTTTGAATGTACTTTGAAAATTTCTTTTAATCAAAGAAACTACTAGAACAAATATAAGAATTTCTTTCATATTCAGAGTTAAAATCGGCATATTTAGTCATACTTAATATAATTTTAAAAATTATATATAAAATAATAAATTGTCATTTTCAGAATTATTTTGTATTTTTCTGCAAGAAAAGTCTATGAGAATTATGTCGTACATAAATTTCTGATATCTCAATGAATTTTTTTTTAAAAAAATAAAGGTCTCATGTGCTTGTGTTCTCTGTTCAACATGTGAAGTGATGAAGAACACATCTTCATTGAATAAACCCAAAAGACTCAAATGATCAATTAATTAATTAATTAATTAATTAATTGAAAGAAAAGAGTGATTAACTTATGGGTTTGTAGAAAATCTCCCAATTAACTAATTAATTAATTAATTAATTATTGAAAATGAATGTAAAACCACATTAACCCATGTGGTTCGTATCACACATTCACACCATCCCATGTTTCTTCTTCCCACACTTTTCACCCATTTATTCTCGGATCAAAATCTTTCATTATCCTTAATCACCAAGAACACATATATTTATATATATACACACACACACATACACATTGGTTTCTCAAACTATAGTTCTATATAATAATTAATTAGTAAAAGAGTTAAAAACATATACATACATACATATATATATATATATTAGATATAGACCATGTTCATATAATATAACATGGTATCATGTGAGTTAAACGCGAATCAAGGTCAAGAGAGTTTTCATGGTACTGTTCTAGCACGCGTCAAAATGACAATCCAACATTATCCTTTGAAATAATATATATATATATATATATATATATATGTGTGTATTATATTTGAAGTTTATTTTCAATGCAATTTTATATTCAACTTGTTTTTCTTTTAATTAATAATTTTTAGGTTCAACTTATCAAATAATATTTTAATTCCATGAATTCCCATGTATACGTGAACGCGTATATGCCTTAAAACTCACATGTAGTCTCCTCATTACTTGCGCCATATACATATGTTTTCCATTTGACTTAACTACACCTAATTAAAGCCGATATATAATAATATATTATAAATCCATACAAATAATTTAGATGGGCTTGCTTCTTGTTGCCCCTTTACTAGAGATTGTTTGGGATTATATATATATACGTCGTTTATACATATACTTAAATAATATGTTGCACCACACTAGTGATCTTGAAGGAGCTGTTGAACTTTGTCACATGGTTTGACCCATTCACTTCATTCACATGTTGCATATCGGATACAAGTTTGAGATCGCATGCATGGGGCGGTTGGAGTATTACAGGAGGGACTATAACGAATCCGGGTCTTTGGAGTTATGAAGGTGTAGCCGGAGCGCATATCGTGTTTTCTGGCTTGTGCTTCTTGGCAGCTATCTGGCATTGGGTGTATTGGGATCTAGAAATCCACAAAGTATTGAACTCACTTATGTAGTTTGAAATTATAGACTAGTATCGTTCCCCCAAGTTTTTGTTCTTCATTTGATTTACCTACTCTACCGTAGATTAGTTGACGTTTAATGACATCTACGACCCTCAATTACGATCATTATAAGGCTTTTTCAAGCTTAATTCTTAGAAATAATAATTTTCTAAAGTCGAATTTTATGTATGTCATATATAAATATGATATGATCCATTCAAATCAAATAACTAATTACTTTAACAATTTATAAGGTTTGATATTCGTTACAGGATACTAAGGACAGATATTGGATTCTTGCTCAAAACTAAGGTGAGCGGGATTTTGACCTTCTCAAGTTAAAAAATATAATTTTCATATCTAATCAATGAGATAGTATTTGAACATCATTCGAAATTTTCACAGTATCAGTCACATTCAACGCTAAGGAATTAATCATTCTATGAGTTTCTATGTTTATGTAATTTTAGAAAATAAGATCGATAACTTAACTGAAATCTTAATGATTACTACCTTAACTTTTCGCAATTACTTTAAAATTTAGTTTTTTTTCTATTAAAATATATGTAAAATGAATCTTGTCGTTTATAATCTTCTAATATGTCTCTAACTTATTCATCTTTTGGATTTATCTCATGATATTATGGGAAAGCATATTTCGCAAAATTGTCTCCTCAACTACGTCTCGAAAAGCCTTGAGGTTTCCCTATGGCTTTATTATTCTAATTACAAATGAACCTCTCTCTCTCTCTCTCTCTCTCTCATACGAACA